TGGAGAAAAAACTAAGTTAAAACCACCTAAAAAGCCAAAAACGGCCTTTCTGCAGCCCCTGCGATGCTTGGTGTGCTCTCCCTGACCCAGCCATCAGGGCACAGAGCTGCATCACCCTGGGATGGACGCACCCTAATGCATGGGGGAGCATGACCATGTGTCCCCACGACACGGTGAGGCAGCCCACGGCCTTCCTTGCTGCCATTCACCCATGGGACAAAGCCAACATCACTTTCATCACCCAAGAAAACCTCTCCTGGGTTCCCCAACATAGCACCGGGGCACCAGGCTGGACCACTGTGCGGGGAAAAGGCAGGCAAAGGCAGGGTGCAAGAGACCAAGACAACTCGGTTCTCAGCACGAGCAACAAATTGATAGGGAAAACTCAATGTTTCCCTTGTTTTGAAGTGTTAGCAAATTATTCTACTACTAATTACAAAATGTTCAGAATTATTTAAAAAAAAAAAAAAGACTTCATAAATCCCGTGCTCTACTATTGTTTCCAGCCCTCTGTGATGGATAAGTAAAGGAAATCAATAATTATCACCATGGCTGCTCGGCAGGAGGGGAGGAGAATGGGGGAAACAGCATTGGGCTGCTCACTCCTTGCCATTCAGCTGGTGGGATGTGTAGCCCCCACTAACCCTTTCCCAAATCCAGCCCTCCATGCACAAGGCAGGACAGAAGGAGAAACAGAAAAAGGAGACAAAGAAATCAAAGGGATGAAGAACAACAAAATCAATCCATAGGCAGCTTTGGCAAAGGCTCGGCACAGCCCCAGGCACCAGCCGGCAGGTGAAGAAGGGCTGGGGGACGCAGACGGAGCAGGGGACCGGCTGCCTCGTGGAAAAGGGATGCATGGGAGCGAGGGTGCTCAAGGAACATCAGTGGGCTGCACAGCCCAGCTCTGTTCTTATTTTGTGGGTGTTTGTTTCATGTTGCCACCCCTGCTAGTTCAGATTTCCAGCTGTGGCAAAGAAGCTGGTCAGTTCATTACCCTGAGCCACGGCAGCTTGGAGGCTCGACAGGAATTTGCCAGGAGGGGGAAAAACGAAAGCGAGACAATCCCAGGAAGCAGCAGGAGCACTCTCTCGCCCCTTCTCCCTGGGTTTATAAATACAAAGTAAAAATTCCACACACGGCTGATTTAGCTCCAGGCTTTTTCCTTGGCAGGTTTCTCCATGCAACTGAGTTATCACCTGGCACTGGGAAGGTCAGAGAGAAAGTCAGCATGATTCCAGCTGATATAAATTTAGTGCCCCATCCTCAGAGTCAAAAGGGATAAAAAAAGCTGAGACCCTGCACAACTGCTGCCATTCTAGGGAGGGGTTACCTTGCCATCATTAGGTTTCAGAGTGAAACACCAGCAGAGAAAGGGTTTAATAATTTTCCTTGAGGAGAACAAACGAAATCCACCCAGCATGCTCATCCAAGGTCTCAAACGATTTCCCCAGCCTCCCAACGATCCCCGCTCCTCCTTTTCCTCCCACCTCCTCCCCAGCACGATGATGCATTACACCTTGACCACACAAGGAAGCCATAAAGCAGGGCTGAGGGACGGGGGAGAGCAAGACGAATGGATTTAATATCAACCTGAACGGAGTGTGGGCTATCACACCAAATGAATTATTCATTTTGGATTCAATAACAGCCTCCATTTTGCATTGACCCACAGCTCTCAGGGGCACAAGGTGCCAAAGAAGATGGGGCAGACAGTCCCACCGTGTTTTGGGGCACGGCGTGCGATCACCCAGCTGAGAACAACACGGCTTCGCACCAGCCAGGAGGTCCATAGTGCCAAACCCCAACCAGCCCAGGATAGAAGCAAATAACGGAGCAGATTGATAAAGAAAGTCTCCCTCCCTCCTTCCCAGCCTCATCTTAGCGTCACGGTGGTAAAGACCCCCCATCACTCTGACCCTAAAACATGACAATAATCTCTCGGGGACTCAAAATACCCCCAAGATGAAGGCAGTGTTCTGCCTGTGCCTTTCGCAAGCGGCTAAGTGCCGATAAAAGCTGGTATTAATGAATCCCTCAGCGGCCCCCAGCTCTGCCGTTAGCACAAAACTGCTCCGGTCTAATAGCCCCACGATAGGCACAGCCTCTATCCCAGGGGGTGGGAGAGATGAGAGAGGGCTGGGGGAGCTAAACAATTCCACCCTATTTTTTTTCCCCACTGCTGAGGAATTAAGCCCATTTTCTCAGCCTTAAAATACCGAGGGATTTTCTTTATTATTTTTTTTTCCTTGGTGACAATTCCCCTAGGCTTGTTAAGTGGCTCATCTCAGGTTGATGAAGGCTTTGAGCAGCTGTCAGGAGCATATGCCTCCCAGGAGCCAGGGTGCGATCCTGGCACCATCCCTGCGAGACAAAGCCAGTGGGTGAACAAGGCAGGAGAATACGACCCCTTGAGAGCACGAAGACAAACAGAAAACCAACAGATTATTATTTCTAAACCTTACAATGTGCCACCTCCTGCTTGCTGACCTTTGGGAAAGACTGGAGGGCTCAGGTCATCCCTCATGGCCTCCAAGGTCCATGGGGAGGAGGCTCAATGGCCAAAGGGTGCACATGAGCTACCAAGAACCCAGAGTCCAACCCAATGTCAGATTTTTACTCAAACACAGTTAAATTTCTACCAGCCCTAACTAAGCCCTGGCTCAGGCTTTTAGAACTGGTTTTAGTGAACTTCCAGGAGGGGCTGGCAGGTTTACTGGTTTCGGGTTCCTTGCCAGTGTTAAGCAAGAGCTTCAAACATGCAGGTCCCACATGCAGTCCCAGCCTTTCATCCTTCCTCCTGAGCTGGGAACTGGGAATGCTCTCACAGGACTGGGAGATGGGAGTTACTGGAGCTCTGCTCCGGACACTGGATCATACCAGTGCCTAACAGCACCCACGGGATCATGAAAACATCATGGTCCTGTCATCACGCACGCGCTTGGTGCCATTTAACCACCTGCTCGGTCTGCACCTACAGCACACCTCGGTGCTTTTCAGGATCCCAAATGCTGCCAGACGATCTGTAAAGTACATTTCTACCCCCTTAGACCTGCTAGGATCCTGAATTTTCCCCTCAAGGAGCCAAAATGCAAAGCATGCTCCCCACACAAAGGCAAAATGTTTGCCAGGTGCTCTGTAGAGCCCACACTTGGGAGTCTCAGAGGTTTTTTCCTTCAGCATCAGCACTGCCAAGGACTGGGAGCACAGCTGGAGACAGGTGCTGTGGCACAGAAAACTCAGCAAATTCCCAATGGACAGGGGTCTGCTCAGTGCAACTTTGATGGCACAAACACATCGTAGTCATTCTGGGCTTTGAACAAGAAAAGGAAACCAAAAAAGCCACAAAGATGGGTCTAACTCCCACCATGAGCTGGTTTGCTCTCACGCCTCTCCTGCCCTGCTGCCCTCCATCCTCTGCCCTGCCCCAAACTATGAGCACTGGGTAGGTGCAACTGCTCCTCCTAGGGGGTTAGAAGCACTGAAGACCCCAGCTTCCTCCACCAGCCTGGCCAGCAGCAGATCACAAGGTCAACACCACCAAAACCCGCAACAGTTAAATGTTATCACTGGTTTCCTACATTTCTGGCAAAATGACATTATTTCCCAATTCCAGTCTTTAGCTAAAATTAGTATTTATTTTTTCCATGACGAGAAAATGTCATTTTGCCATAAAACCATGTGTGCTTTCTGTTTGTTTATTCAATAGCAGAGGAACGTCTCGCCAGAAACTCTACGGTTTGTGAAGAGCCCTCCCTCTAACAGAGTGCTCCAGCTCCTCACAGGAACAGACCATCTCCTGGTGGGAACAAAACCACGATCAAGGTCAACCGCAAAACTCAAAGGAATCCACCTGCAATGCAGGAAAGCAAGGCCTTAGCACACAGACTCTGGTGGTTCCCCAGTTGTCGGAGCCCTGCCATGGGAAGGCATCAGCACCCTCACCTTGGCCAGGCAGGAATGTGGTTTTTCATGGTGAAAACCTACACAAGCTCTCAGGTTTGAAACAAATGAACAAACAAGTTTCTCCAAAGCTTGAATCCCAGCTTTGCCATTTTCATGTATCTGAAATTACAGGTGGAGAAGAAACACCGTGGTGGCCACCCCAAGGAGCATCACAGCCAAGCCTGGTGCTACATGTGCTGCCACCTGCACCAAAAGAGGTCCAAGTCAGACATCTTACAATCACACACACACCCCCAAAACCAGCTCTAAAGCACTCTGACACCTGTGTTTGACCTTCTCCTCCCCCACAACTCTTCCTTGACTTGGTGGTGCCCACCTTCTCAAAGTTATTTGGAAAACTCTCCTGAAATGGGATTAACTTCTCATGCAAAACGCCCTCTCCGCTTCCCTCCTTCCAAGCAGCGTACAAAAAACAATACTTCAGTTTGGGAGGGGAGAAGGAAAGGGCAGTCAGCAAAGCTAATAGAAAGAAAAAAATAATCCTCCAACAATATTTGGGAAATAATTATCAGAACAGCGAAGAGATGAAAAGCAGCAAGCATGATTTCCATATCTATAACCCCGCATTGCGGAGGACTCCAGCAGGCACCAGCATGCTGGCGACGTGGCTGGGGGAACCCAAAACCACAGCCAAAACAATTCCAATTAATGCTGAGAATCAGAGCGACTTCGCTGCAGTCGGGCCCGGCAGCGGCTGCCTGGCTCCCACAGCTTTGCTGGGGAAATAACGAGGGCGGATGAAAGCGGCTCAGGTGGCGAGCGCCAGCCTGCACGGCACTTTGAAGGCAGCAGATCACAGAAGCGACTTCCAGCCAGCTCGTGGTGGCAACTGAACCAGCACCCGCATCCTCACCAAGTTCTCAGAGTACACCAAGAAGCCACAGGCTGACCACTGCTCCCAAATCCCAGGAGGTAAATGGTGCACAGCCTATTTCACACAGACATTGCCCAAAACAGCTTGTGTGGGGCCAAACACTTTGTGAAGCAAAACTTGAAACCAGTAAAAGTGTCTTGTTACTGAAAGCCAACCTTACCTTTGCAAGCCACGTTGTTCTCCGGCTCGTAACCAGCCTTGCAGGTACAGCGGCCGATGGGGACCATCCACTCCCCGTCCCCGTTGCAGTACAGTTTGATGGGCACGTCCACCTCCTCAGCGTTGGGGATGCAGGTGCCACGGGCAGTCACTAGAGAGGTGCTCTCCGCTCCTGTCATGGTCTCCGGGAAGATAGCGAAGTTCTGCACCACGCTGGGGCACTTCTTGAAGAAGACCCTGACAGAGAGCAAAGACATACAAGCCCCATAGTCCTGGAAAGCCAGGTAAAAGCCATTGCGGGTCAGCGGCCCGAAACTTCTCACTTCTGTGTTGACTTTCATCAACCTGCCACCGAAGTCCACCTGGGAGAAGCTCTCGTCAGCAGCAATGGTGTCCACTTTGAGGTAGGGTGCCTCCGTCCAGAAGGCTGACTTCTTGGTGGCAATGACAGAGTCCGTCTCGTAGTAGTAGAGGTTGAAAGTCTCCTTGCAGGAGCCAGGGACGTTGGGGAGGCTGCTGCAGTCCCGCACAGTGAAGCGCATCTCGGTGTAGATGCGGTGAGCTCCGCGCCGGTTGATGAACGTGGTGAGGAGCCAGTTGTTCTGGTTGGGCTCGAAGACGTTGCACACCTGGTACGTGCGGATGGTGTTGAGGTTTTCGTCGTAGCCGCTGACTTCTTCCCACTGCAGAAAGGAGAAGGGAGAAACGATGAGAGGGAGGCAGAGGGAGCCGCAGAGGTGCTGCTCACCCTGCAGGGGCAGGGCAGGGCTGGAAGGAGAACCCCAAAGCCCCAAAGGGGACTAAGGAACACGGCTGTGGGCACACGACACGATGCACGTGCAGAAACAACACCAGAAGAAATGCTCATCCTCTTGCCCCTCATGCCTCTCGCCATTGCTCCCTGCTGATGCCAAAACATCTTTTCTACATGGGCAGCCACCTTAGCTGCCCTGAGAAGAGGTAAAAATGGAAAGAAAGATGGTCCAGGCACCCGGAGGCAGGAGGGAAAGCAGCACACAAGGCTATGGCTTCATTAAAGCCCGAGCCAGCACGTGGGCTGAGAGCGAGCCTGACCCCAGGCTCTCGGCACGGCGGGATCATTTCCCCCAGCAAAGAAAACTAACTAAATAAAACATTACCGCCGCGGAGCGAGAGAGAATATAGATTTGCAATTCGATTTATAGAAGGGCATTAATATAATCCAGGCTACAATTTCAATTAAGGGACAGCGGCAAACTGTGAATAGTCTATGATGGCATTAGAGTCCTACAGACAGATTTACAACCTCATAATCCATTCATTTTAACTAATCCATGTTTACAGTCTCCTCATAACAGCATTATTCATATGGCAATCTTTAAGCAGCACTCTGAATATCATGCATAATTTCCACGGAGCGATGCTATAGCAGTGCTCACGCGGGTTTGGGCTTACGTGGGGCCACAACGGCAGACGGATGATGCCAACCTGCCCCATCACACTGAACCTTGCCAAAGAGCTGATGTGCCACAACCGACCCTGCATCCTGACAGATTTTGCCCTCTTCCATTTTCCATCAAGCAACCACATTCCTCACCTGCTCCCCAAGTTTCTTTCCTCCTCGTAAACCACAGTCCTGATATAAAAAACACAGGTTTTTTTCCCCGGCCGGGTGCACGGGAGGGAACCTGACCCGCTATCCTTCTAGTCACGGTGCCCATCAGGGAGCCAGCTCCCTCACCAGCTTCTTTCACTGAGCATACCCTGCGCTTTGCTGCTTTTTTTTTGGGGGGGTTGCAAACACAGCTTCAAAACTCAGAAATAAAACCTGCCAGTGGATCCTGACACACTTCAGGCACCCAGAACCCAGGGCTGGCCGCGACTGGGAACAACATGAAATGCCACTTGGAAAACCCTCATGAGGGTTTGGGGCCAGATCCTGGTGCTCCCTTGGGTTAAGCACTGAAAAGCAGCAGGTCCCTGTGGCTGGAAAGACCCATGGCACCCGTGGCTGCTCCCAACAATGCTCTAACAGCGACAAATGCATCATTTTGACGAGATCCCTCTAAATAATTCACAGGGAGCTGGGGATTAAGACAATGTTCTTCCTCATCTTCACTGAGATTTAAAGCACATCCAGCACGGAGAGCAGGAGAAGAGCCCATGTCCCACCGGAGCCAGTCCCCAGGGTCCAGAGCTGCTGCTGCCCAGCTGGCACCCGTGCCCTGGCGTTACTGCCAACAGCCCCCCTGCCCCCGAGGATGCATCTGTGAGGGGTGAACAGTCACTTCTGGAGCCATGGGGAGATGTCACCACCCAAAGGGATATGAAGCCTGCATGGAGCATATGCCAACAGTGACCCTGGGGTCAAGAGAAGTGGCTCATCAACTCCCTGTACCCCCAGCCCCAAGAGAAACAAGAGGAGCCTGGTAGAAGGAGCTGATGCACCAGCAGCAGCCAGGAGCCCCTCTCTCATCCTCCCATCTCCTCCCCATTGCCCCAGGGAGCAGTAAGGTCCTGTTGAGAGACAGTTGCTGCTCCTCTCCCTCTTGTTTCTTTGCTTCCCTCTCTAGTTCCTCCCTTCTTCGCTTGCTCCTGTGAAGCTATAGCTTGTTGCTAAGCCCCACAGCAAGGCTGCTCACACACTCTCATTTTTTTGATGGAGGAAGGCAGGGCAGAGGGGAAACTTTTGGTTTCTTACCCCAGCTTTGAGCTGCTCAGGCTGAAGAAGAAATAGCACAGCCCGAGGGGGACTGCTCCTGGTAGCTGAAGATGAAAAACAAGACTAGCAAGCAGATTTGGGGCCTCTGTTGACTCCAGCAGAAGCAGAAATCCCCACATGTACCTCAGCATGTCCTCGCCAGGCTGCTTGGATGGGTCGCAGTCTACAAACCCTTCCTGGCACCTCTGCTCTGGATAAGTTTCGCCCAAACACTGGCTATTGCCACACGACAAGCCAAGAAGTGGCACAAATCTGCCCTCAAATATTTGCTGTGAGCTATTAAATGGGACAAACCCTAAAACTCAGCGCTGTGACTGGGCAGTTCATGAAGAGTACCACATGCCTGAAGCAAGAGGAAGACACTGCTTATTTTCAACTGGTGTCCAGCCTACTCCAAAACCTGCCTCGGCTGGGACATGATGCCTACAGAGGGTTCACTCCAGGAGTCCAAAATGCACCTTAAGATGTTCCATATCCCCCCAGCAAAGCACCTGAAGCTACAAAGAAAAGCCTAATCCACAAGCAAGGGGACTTCAAAAGGGAAGTCACGTTCTCCAACACATACTACAGACTGACCCTCTATCTTTTAAATAAAGAATTTGGTATTTTAAAATATTTTATGGAACTCTAACATACGCTTCTGTAAAGGAGAAGACTTGCCAGCAACTCTCTGAGGTCCGAGTGTTGGATGGCTGCAAGGATGTGTGCACACAGATGCAAGCAGAGGGATGCAGGGATGCAGGCAGAGGGATGCAGGGTGGGGAGAGGCTTCGCTCTGCCCTCCGCAGAAGGCAAGACCACCGTGCCTTACGACACAAGCTCCCTGCCTGCCTTGCATGGGCTTTCAGCGACAGCAGCTGCAGGCAGCTATTTATATCCTGTCTCCTTCACCTGCACGCAGTCCCCCTGCATTTTGCCAGCAATTTATCTGGGCCCAGATTTTTCCAAAGCAATTCAGTGGCAAAGCCCCACGTTTCAAGGACCTTTGGTGTGACTGGAAAGGACTTTGTGCCCACAGTATGTGTGGTTCAGCTTTGGTGACAGTGTGCAACCTCACTTCTTTGGAAGACCTGGCCAAGCCAGTCACGCCCTCACAAAAACCCAGGCTGGCATCTTTTCCCCTTTGGTGCCATGTCCTGGAGGCCCTGGGGATGGACATGTCCCTGCCCAACCAGCTGCCTGTCCCACCGTGATGCCCATCCATCAACTCACATCCCCTCCCACTGCCGCTCCTCTCTCCCCCAGCTCCATCTCTCACTTTCTCTGCCAGGGGAATGTGAGTCAGGTTATTTTATGCTTCCATTCCTCAAAGGCTCGTATTATATAAAAAAGATGTTTTAAGTGCCTCAGGGTGTTTTGTTCCTCATTACTTCATAAAAGTGACATTAATAGCCAGGGAAGAGCACTGCCGAGTGCAATTACGGATGATGTTCCAGGTATGAAAGCTGTTTTGAGCCTGCTAATGTTTCCTAATTACAAGCCTTTTGGCACAAGGAGAGGCAAGGCACAAGTGGGGGGATGGAGAGCAGTGGTGGGGCCAGACCCTTCACCTGGGAAGAAGACAGCCAAGGAAGGAGAGAGCACAGGGATCCAGAAAAGTTCCATCTTTGTCAAGACCCCAGGACCAGTTCAGGGTAGGGATGCTCAGCCCTGGACCAGCCGTGCAGCTCAGCACAGTGATGCCCTGGCCACCCCATGCCAGCCCGCTGGGGCATCGCTGCTTCCACTGTGACTTCCCCAGCTCCTCACCAAAGTTTTAAGATAAAGAACATGAGCCCCACGAGATTGCATAAGGCTCAGCTGGACAAGTGGCACTTACCCCTGAAGGAGGGTTGGCGGTCCAGCCCAGCTCGGCTGTCGCTGTCCGCGTATCCATCAAAGTTTCTGAGGAAACACAAGAAAAGGAAAGCTATTTAGTCCTGGAGTTTTCGATGACGTTACGAACACAGAGCCATAGAAACACATTCAGATGCTGTCACGGAACATGCATCTGACCCCTGGAGCTGCTCAGAAGTAAAGCAGCAGGTGTGTTAATACATCTGCTGAACTAAGGGCAGCTTCACTCCGGAGCAAACGGTGTTGGACAAGACTCTTTGCAAAGAGTCATGGCCTGAACCCAGCCCACACTGCCATCTCTGACCCTCCCAGGCCTAGAGAGGCGAAATAGTGTTACCAACTACAACAAATTAAAAAAATTAAGAAGGATGCTGCATTTCATGGAGCCATTACACACATGGACAGAACCTTGTTTAATCCCTAGCAGCAAGTTTGCATTAAGTCTCTGAAAGCAGCAAGAGGCTGGGGGAACGTCTCCCACGGCGGGCAGAGCCCACTCTCTCCCACAGCCCCTCTGCACATGCTTTTCGGTGGGTCCCATCCGACTCGCTCGCAGCTATTTGCTGCGCTCCGCAACGCTAGTCATCCTCCTTTTATGCTCTGCATCTGCCCGGCGCCCTGAGTTGTCGTTGCACACAGTCATTATTTGTCAGAGTGATACATGACTAAAACCCACATTGTTGGAGCAGTGTTCCTCTGCTGGGGGTCTTTTGATGGGAAATATTTGAAAGCTGTAATACAGCTGACATTTCCCTACTTTTATTCTTAAAAAAAAACCAAAACACCAAACACAAACCCACAACAAAACACAACAAGAATAATAGTGAGAGCAACAACATATAGAAACAGATGGGAAAAACCCTCCAGGTTTTATTTATTTGTTTGCAGCAAGCAGACATGCAGATTAATTTCCACAATTCCTGTGTCTCGACCAAACGGAAGGAGGAGATGCGGCGGCTGGCATAGCTGAGCATCCCCCGTCCCTCCCCTTTCCTCGGTTGTCCCAGGTACTCACAGCAGCTTCGCAGTGACAGGAAAATGGGTGCAACCAGAGAAATAAAGATTAGGAAATAAAAATGAGCCCAGGAATATGAACTGCCGACGGCCTGCTGCTTTTAATTGCTCCACGCCTGCTCCAGCAATCGCAAGCGGGAAACGAGACTCCTATTAATCTTCCCACCCCTTCCTTTGCCGGCTGCTCCAGGATGGGAAGCCAACGTGACCGGGAACTCCCCACCCTGCCACGAGTGATAAACACTCCCTCTCCCAAAACCCTCGCCGGAGCTGCTGACCCAGTCTGGCTCCCGGAGAGGTTAGCAGGGCCACAGAGGCAGGGAAAGCAAAGCGATGCCCGGAGATGGAGCAAAAAGACTCTTGGGGAGCACATCCCAGCTGAAACTCCCCACAAGCCCCAACACGGGGCTGGGGGCACGTACTCCAGACCTTCAGGGAGTTTCTGGTCCCGCCGCCCTCTGCCACAGAGTTTTCCTTCCCTTGCGAACAGCCCCGCACCTTGTTAAACAGTCATTAATCCTCGCTACAGCCCTTCAAATAAGCATGCGGACGTGCCCGTGCATAAATAGATGCGAAGGTGGAAGCGAAAGGCCGTGCAAACATCTCCCAGTCCCCATTCCCGATGGGGCTGTGAGGGGAGGGCTGCTCCAACAGCCCATGAGTCACCTCGTGGTTATCCCTGCAGCAAACAGGGTGTCCTTGTGCCTTGCAGGGGAAACTGAGGCAGCAGAGCCCAGGGTGACACCGGGAGCGTGGCCAGGCTGGGACCCAGACCTGGCTTGCCCACCCTCTGCAGTAAATAAAGCCATGCTCCATTACAGGAAAGAGCCTTCTTCCAAGGGTTTATTCAGAAAGGATTTTCATTCAATCCTCTCCCTTCCTGTTCCACACACTTACAGCTTCCTTCCCTGAGCAGCTCAGGGTTCTGTCAGTGGGGCAATGACAGAGGAATGTACTCTTGATAAAGTACAGCCGTGGTCCAGGACAGTAGCACGCAAGGACTGGCTTCGCTCCGAGGTGGCATCCACTGGGATCCTTCCCAGCTCAGGGTCCCCTTCCAAAATCCCACCCCTTTCCTCCAGCTCTGTTCCTCCCCAAAGGCTCCATGCTTCAGAAACAAAGCGGGAAGGCACAGCAGCAATGCCAGTGTGACACTCAGCAGCTCCCAAAGCAGGAAACTTCAAAATAACCAAATAGACAAATAAATGTATCAATTAAAAAGAACCACAGAGAAGCTTTCACTGTAGAGGGTTCCCAAGTCCCAGGGGGACTGTGTGGCTTGCAGCCAGGGAGGTCACACTCCCAAAGTTTCTACTGCAGATGCGTAACCTGCACTTCAACATCTCCAAATGTTTCTAAAGCAATTGGCAAACCCAGGGAAAAGAGGGCTGAGAGCCACCGCTGGAAGCTCTACAGACCATCTCCTATCCCAACTCCCAAGGACACTGCCATATACAAGAAGATCCATAACCTGCAAAAATCGGCTGGTTGGCTGGTTTGGGTTTTCTCTTTAATAAAAGAAAATAAAATTGTTAACTCCCCTTTCAGCTCTAAAACAACCCCCGTGACCGCAGAGGTACTGGCACCAAAGTGCTCAGCTGAGCGACTTCCCATTGACCTCTGCTATTTCCTCTTGGAGGAAACCTTGGATTTTACTTCATCTTCTGGGAGGTACGAGTGCTGCCGTGACCCCGGGGGAAACCCCGCAGGGACATTTATGGCCAGGCAGCTCAGGGCTAAGTCTGCCAAGCACTCTTCTTCAGCAGGGGGGCTGTTTCCAGATGCCAGTGCCTCTTGCCCCAGGACCCCGCAGAGAAAGAGGGGACAAGATGGGGCTCCCAGCCCTCGCGTCTCCGTCTCTGGGCATCAAAATATCACTGCTGGTGGGGGAAGATAGGGATCATCCCCCTGGCTATCCATCCCTTGGGAGTGGGCAAAGGAGGGGCAGGCAGTAAAATCCCTTTGCTCGGCCTGCTAACAAGGGGATTAGCATGGACCAGCGCCTGAGCATCATTAATCAGCAGAGAAGTCACACAGATACCTCGCACCTCTCCTCCCACGCTCCTCTTGCCTGCTCTGTCCTGCCGGGAGGACCAGTCCTCATTATTTGGCACTGGGTACTAATTAAACCCCTCCCAGATGGGTCAGCAGAGGGGTACATCATCTCCCCGTGCCTCCTCCATTGAGCAGGGCATCGTTAGCCACGTCGGGTGAACCTCGTGCCACCTGTCCACCTGCCTCAGCCAGTCCCCACACTGCACCGTGCCAGCACCCGGGCTCGGTGCTTAAAGGCAAGCGCAGGCAGACGCTGCCCTCCCCTTGCCTGCTGCAAGGTACCGCTCCCTCCGGAACCCCTTCCACACCTGACCCACCGCAGGTGGGCACAGCGGGTGGATGCCCAGCGGATGATCCGCCCCCACGGGAGCTCGACACGCTTGCCTGGAGAAGTCTTAAGGCCCGGAGCCTTCACTGACAGCAGCTGACCAGGCTCTAATGGCTGAAGCCCTCGTTAGGGAGAAGACGAGCTCTGCTGCGGCGAGATGAGCTCTCTTAGAGTGAAGAATCTTCAGCTGTATACAGTAGATTTTCTTTAATGGACACATTACTTTAAACTAAGCCTTCGCCATCTGTTCCAGTCTCTAATTATCAATACAAAAACAAACGTCTACTCACAATTACACTCGTAACGAGTAAAGATGCCAGCAATTAGAATGCACCAGCATCCTCGCCGCCGGAGCAGCGCATCCATCTGTGATGGCACTCGCGCGATCCAGGCAGGGAGGGATCCAGGCAGGGAGGACTCACTGCCATCCCGGGCTCCCCGCACCCTCCCCGGGCAAACGGGTGCAAGAGGCAGCCAGATCCCCGTGGCTCAGGGGACCAAAGGGTGGGCTGGCATCACTTAAGCGGCAGGGGCAAACAAGATATTTTGGGTGAGAGTAGCTGGGCACAGAGCACAGCAGCGCAGGATCGGTCGCAGGAGCCTTTGTTTCACACCAGCTGATGCCATCTTGCCAACCATCCTTCCCGATAGGATTTAAGCCGCTTCCAGAAAAACCTTTCTGAACTACTCAAAAGGAAGTGGCAATTATTTCCTGAAATTCCTAGCCTGGAACCCATATTTCAGACTTCCCCATCACGGAGGGCTCCTGCCGAGTCCCACCATGAGAAGGTGTGACTTCCCAGGGTCTGCCTACGGGCAGAGAGAGATGGTGGCAAGGAGGCCAACCCAACTCGATCACGTTTCAACGCTGCCATCTGGGAAGAAAGAGATAAGAGAACAAATTTTCTGCTCAGGGAGGCCACGAAGAAACTTCTATGAGTGCTGCACTCCTCCATAGATGCCTCGGGGACATGGTCCCTCTCCCAGAGCAAGAGGCAGCAGCTCTCACTCCTGCAGAAGATAATGGCAGGAACCAGCCTACGGCACTCGAAAGCAAATGCTTGGGCATATGCAAAGAGACGCAGGCATGTCTAAGACAACCAAGAGGAAAAAGATAGAAATTAAGCAAAATAAGGAGAAAGGAGCCTTGATAACAACAGATGGGTAGAGGGAGATTTGGAAAGGATGCCAGCTGCTGGAAATAAGCCCCTCGAGATGCGTGGGGAGCGGAGAGGTGCGTGCTGATAGCTGAGCCTTCAGGAAGGGAGATGGGAGGGCACTGTTGAGCCATAGTCAGGGCATGTGTGGCCGTGCGGGGCTCAGGTCCAGGGTCCAGAAGGGCAGAGGGTGCTCCGTGGGTGGGATCTTCAGGAGGCTCATCCTCCCGTGCACCCGCAAAGCACAAAGTGAGCCTGAGCAAACGCCGTTGGGGTCAGTGCATGGTCCAGCCCCAGGGCACGTTGCCGGGCAGTCCTGGCCCCCATAGCATGACTTTCTGAAGAGGAACAAAAGCGAGGCTTTTTTCCATAAGCAAAGCAGCATATTTTCCCCTCTATTTCATGCTCATCAACGCCAAGCTTTCCTTCTACCCCCTCTTTCTCTCCCAAGAGCTTGAGCAAAATCAGCCCAAGGCAAACGCACAGCTTGGGAAGCTTCTGTCCAAGTTTGGTGACATTACCATCGAAAGGGAACAATAGAGAAACAGAGCCAAGATGCTTTATTACAAAGACTAGTGCTAAATAACATTAACTGCTATGATGCCGCAAGCTCTGCCTTCCCCTGGCTGCCGTGACTTCAAGCAGAGCCCAGATTGCATCATGGCTTTCATCGCCACGACCCATGCGCTCGTGGTTTGCATCGCGCCTCTCAGCGTCAACGGAAAGAAAGCGCTGGGGGAATAATTCAAATTTAATTCTCACTATTCCCCACAGAAGAAGGGCTCCAACCACACATGAGGATGTCGCCTGAGCAATCCTGCATTGCACTCCCTAACCATGCTACCCACCACAACGCCACACAGATGCGGTGCAGGTTCGCCCATGCAAGTTTTCAATATATCCTGAACTTCAGGCTAAGCTGGGAAAAATCAGGAAGACGAGATCTGTGAGGCTGTGCCGCAGGGACTGAGGCGGTGAGTCGCTGGGCGTACATCCCACCCAAAAACAGGAGGACTCCCCAACCATTTCCTGCTCCAAATCAGGAGGGAGAACCACTGCTTGCCCCTTGTGTGGTGAAGGAGCCGGCAGCTCTGCGGTGGGAATGCCGTGACCTCTCCCAGATGGTTTAATTACGGTGCCGGAGAGGCAGGCAGGGTAAGAGCAGGATCACCCTCTCCCCTTTGATAAGCGCTGCTCCTCTTAACAGTTTCCCGAGAGCTTCGGTTTCCGAAAGAGCTGCTTACTATATCTATACACTTTCAATCAAAAATATTACAGCAACAACTAATTACGTCCCATCATTCCCATGGCTCTCTGCCTTTAATGGTGCATTTTGCTGCTACAGAATGACAGTGAAACTGCTCTGGAAGTGCATAACGAGCTCTCCCCATCAATCTCCCGCGGGTTCGTTATGAAGGATTACCCACCAAATAACAAACACAGTCGAGAAGGGAGAGGATGCGCTAAACAACAACAAAACAAGTCAACACAAAACACTTTCCATGATTTTAAAGGCACCCGCCGAGGCTTTGGGGTCTGTATGAACGTCTCAGGGCAGAGGAGCAGCTGTGCCTACTCTGCAAAGGCATCTCAGCCGTGACACCACCACCCACGGCCACCAGCCCGCGGGGGAAGAGCTGCGGTCACCAAAAAAAACCCGCTTTCGGCTGTAAAGGGAAAGAATTTATATATATCAGCTGAGGACGAGCGTGCTGTGTCAATTTGTGACGGGATGCATTAAGCTGCGGCCACACGGCACAGCCCCGGCCCTCCTCCGGGATCCCCCGTCAATGGCATGGATTTCAGCGCGCAATGAAGATGCATCGCAGCAAGGCAGGCGATAACTTAATGAAGCTCAGATTTGGGGGTGTTTGCTCAGCAACTCTATAACAACTTTATCAATAAAACGCTGCCTGCTGCGACTGCGAGATGAAACGCTCTAATTACAAGCGGCAAATGCTATCCACATCAGGATATAGTAAATTGAAAGATGCTGGTTGATGTGCCTGAAAGCGCCCAATAAAATACCTGCTTACATTTTTGCAAATGTACGTGCATACACACACGCACACGGCAAACCTGGCGTACTAGGCAAGAGAAAAACCCAGACTAAAACCCCTCTGCTGACTTTTTTTTGTCAGAAAAAAAGTTTCCTGACTAAAACCAGCACAAAGGCAATGTAAAGAGTAGACCATAAGGCCCAGATTTACTGAGCTCACTCCTCCCTGCAGAGCACGCAGAGGAGACCCAGCATCTCCCCTCAGTTTTCACGCTCCGAAGGGGCTTGACCCAGCGTGGGTAAATGGTGTTGGACGAGCTCAGCCAGAGCCATACAATCCATTCATCATAATCCTACCGAGGAGAGATACAGTAAATCAAAGAGACAACCTGCCTGCAAATAAATTACTGTGGGGGGAGAGGGGGAGAGGAATAGAGAGAAAAAGAGAGAACTGCAGAGGGAGAGATAAGAGGGAGGGAAGGAAACGACAGAGTTACCAAAAAAAGCACGCATCACGGGAGGGGGGAAAGACAAAGGGGACCAAATCAAATATAAAGATAAGAGGGAGGAGATAGAGCTTGCAATACCTTTTATTTTCCAAACTGTAAACTTAGTTTAGAAAATCTGGGACAAGTTTTAACCCACCGAACTCAAACCAGACATTGGAAGCAATGGGAGAATCTCAGGACAGCACATCACAAGTAACTCAATATTTTCCAAACACAAGGAGCTCATTTGTTCCCGTAATGACAAAGTCAGTTGCCGACACCATGTGTTGTATAATTGCACACAGGCCACAGATACACAAAATCCACACACAGTATACGCACAGGTCACAGTCCATATGTAAGGATTTACAGATGGGCACAGATGCGTTTGGTAACTCAATGTCAAGCAGCACCAAGGGCTGAGAGCTCTTTAACGAACGCTCTGGCCCACCAAGACAGACCCAGTCATCCCAAGAGTCCAGCTCCTCCACCACAGCAGCGATCCAGGGCTGCAAGATGACAAGGCTATCTTTCAGGAGAACATTTTACAGAACAATGTCACTATGCATTTAAATCCTCATCTTCGCTTTTTCGAGGCTGGGTTGCCAGCAAACATAACTTAACACTGTAGCCTGCCCTGAAACCCACCGTATGTCAAGCTTGGCAGTTACTCGTTTCTTCCTCCAGAAGATGTGGAAGAAGAACTCAGCCACCCAGGGATGAGCAGAAACCCTACCATCTGAAAAGCCTGTCAGGCTGCCCAGGAGAAGTAACAGCCTCCAACTCGAGGTCCAGCTAAGTGGTGTGAGAAGGTATGGCCTGAATGAGGGATTGCTTAGGTTGGAGAAGGGCCAGCATCCGCTCTTCACCACCCAATGCCATCGCTGAGCACACACAAAGCAGATGAAGGTCAGGAGCTCGAGGACATTATCCCTTGACACGCAATAGGGTGGCTTCGTCACGGCTGGGCACAGCAGCCTAACAGCACTGGACTTCTTGAGTGGAGGCCTGCTGGCTTGGGCAACTATTTCACCAGCCAGGTGAGCGAGGAGGATCCAGTACCCCAACCCCATCGTACATCCCAGCAGGCACAGCACCTTAACAGACGGCAAAAACAAACCAAGCATCAGGGACCAAGGTCAACCACTTCGTATTTCCTGCTACTTTTCTGTAGCTCACTACTTGGTCAACAGCCATGTGACAGCGTTGGCTGCACATGCTGTGCTCCAGCCAGGCTGGATGGAAGCAAATGAGCTCACCCAAGAGAAGGATATTCTGCCAGGAGCTTTTCTCTTGGGAAGAGAGGGCTTGATCTTCATCAAGCTATAAGAAAGCAAGGAGCTCCAAAAAAAGGAGGGCAGAGGCGGGCAGAATTTAAAAAGATAAAAGCAGTGTTTGAGATTTCATAGACAAGGACTATGGAAGCCTGAGTTCAGTGGAACCGGGCTCCTAATCTGCTGGGATTCCCTTGGAAATTATAGCCTCTAAATACAGAATTGGTCAACCGAGAAGCCAGAGCAGCCATAAACATCAATACCATCCGCAATCACACACGCTAGGATAAATTAAAAGGACGCACAGTCTTCACGCCTGGACACGCACAGGACGTTCACCCGTGGGACTGCAGGGGATCTCCCCGGCAGCGTGCACACGCGTGTCTCATGGCCGCACCGCGCTTGGCTGCAAAGCCAACTTTCAAGGCTCCCAGCACCGAGGAAACACCGGAGCAGGTGCAATCAGCTTTGCTGAACTAATGCACCAGACCTGCCACCCTTTCCCTGCAGCTCTCCTTCCCCGCTGGATTTATTCTGCCTTACTCCGGGATAGCACTGCCTATGAGGAAAGCTCCAAAAATCAAAACATTTACCCTGCATTTCC